ATCATGAATAATCGAATAGACGGAAATAAAAGTAATCTCGAGAAAATCGCCGATCGATCATGCATTTTTTGGTACAATCTATTTCATGGACTGACGCTCTAAAGTCATAAGATCATGGGAATATTTTAAAAATGATCGGGTTCAGACAATCAAGGATCCTGACAGCCGCAGAATTGAAAAATCCATTCGACAGGAACAGACCTTTTTCCTGCTCTGCAATCCTTTTGAAATCCTTTACAAGAACTTTCATGAAAGGACTTTTCATATTTCTTCAAGGTTCTTTGAGCCATTCATCACCCTCTGAGCTGTTCCAAATCATTCAGAAATAAGATTTTTTCCAACGAATGAAAATAATTCTAGCCGCAGACAGCTGCCAAAGATTAATTCGTTTTAGATACCTCTTCGGTACTATCGACTTCTGCAAAATGTTCTACGAATTTTTATTTCTGAATAATGCTATTTATTTGAAATTATTTACGGGAAAACGTTTTTGAAATGAAACGCGAATTCCTCATCAATAATTTTACATTCATATAGCATCTAATGCATGAATGAATACGCAGGATACCTTTGAAATGACATCGACGCTCCCACTGGCTTCTTGTTTTTAGGAAAATCCGGCCGTGATGACTGCAAACTCCATTTCAAGCGCCTAGAAAAATAAAATGCATAAAAAAGGATCTTCTGGCATGAAAAACGTATTCGGTCCTGATGGAACTTACAGAGAGGAATCTTCTTAAATTTTTAGAAAGTTATACATTGTCGCATGACATCATGTGCGTAATTCATCAACTGAAAGAGTTCGCTTATGCTCTGTTGCACTGGGTGGTGATATTTAGATGTTGACTTTCAATTTTACTTGGCGCCTTGTTCCGCTTTGGTGCGGGGCGCTATCATCCGAATGCTCACGGACGAGTCGGTCTGCTGATTTTGCCAAGCAGGATGCCGGACTCAGGAAGTAGACGGGAGGATGCGGCCGAGTAGGCGACTCCATTACTGAGGATTTGTGTTGACTGATGTACGTTGAAGACCTATCTGCCCAACGACTATCGCGGCGATTGAACGAAAGCCTGATTTAAGACTATTCACAATCGTAGATGTATATTCCAATGTTTCAACAAATCGCAATAATTTTTAAGAGTGCTTTTTCTATCGGTTTTTCCGATTCCACAGCTCTGACTGTTTAAAAACATCAAAAAATGCACAAGTCAATACAGTGGCAAATAATTCACATTCAATGCAAAAATATGCACAACACTTTCATTAAGAGTCGAGTACCTTGCGTGGATTTTTCTAAGTCTACAAATAAATTCCACCCTCCTTTCCCTCAGAGCTCCGAGCTCTTTGAGTTGACGATCTCAAATGAGCGTCCTCTGAATTCGCGAAGTCCGAGGAAGAGGGATGTGTCCTTCAACATTCAAACGGTTGCACATTCCTCATTCAAAATAATACTTCTAATCCCTGCGGGAACCTCTCGCGGGAGACCTTCCCACAGGATCAGGCAGATTCCGTGGATTCGTTCCGCAGGATAAAATTTCCAACAGGCCCGTTTCGCCGGAAATCCTTTCACATATGTTTCTCAGTATTCACATGCAAATCAATTTGACTTTTCAGGTTGCTATAAAATCACATCAACAAAACTGCAACCAAAAATGAGAATCCATTTTGCCAAAATAAACGCGAGGATCCTCTCCATGAAATATCCGTTTCGGACCGCTACAAACGAGTATTCAATATACAGAGATTTCCATACTATAAGTAAGCAAGATCAAAAGGTTGCTCAGTATCAATGGTAACCAGTATTTCTTTGATGACTGAGGGCTTCTACAGGCGACGATTGTGGGGTTCCTTCCATTCAGGACACCCTACCAAACATATTAAATGTTTGCCTCTTTTCAGAGGAGTCTGACCCTTTTGAGTAAACCTTGCCCAGTCGCCTGGAGGCAGAGGCTGGAAACTACTTGTAGCAGTAACCAGGGACTGCCCCCTAGGTTGTTTGAAAACCGGCACAAAAAGAGGGACTGAATGAACCAATGTCTCAAGCTTTGAAATTTTGTATTTGAACTTCAATTTCTCACAATCAACCAAGGATGCATCCCAGATAATGGCAAATGCTTTAAAATACAATTCAAACAACAGTGGGAAAATCAGGGCATATAACTTACTGTAACTTAAAAGTCTAAGGGAAGATAATTAGGGAATTATTTAAGCAAAGGGCTATGGAGCGATACGTTTTTCGTAATAGTAATAATGGGGTAGGTGATTATGAGTATTCTAGATATTTGTCATTATTTATGTACCTGTTTTATACCTACATAGAGAACCTCTCAAACAAAGAATCATTAACCCTCTAAAGGGTCAAGCAGAACCTTTAAAAGTATGGTCTTATACTACACACTTCAATTTATAATTGATGTCTTGAAATAGGCTACGAGGCTACGATTTTCCCAATATCTGGGTTTATTTTTCAGAGACGCGCGGTGGGTCCGGTATTCCTAAAAAATATTGTCTAAATATACAATACAATTTAAATATATTTTAAATACAATTTAATCCATATAATTTGCTACACTTTGATAAAAAAAAATCTATCGCTTGCCGCAGGGCAGAAGTGTAAGGAAAACCATGACAAATACTGTACCGGGACGACGGCGGGCTTTTCGGCGGCAGTTTTTCCGCCGACGGCTGGGCTCCTGCGGAGAATCCCGAGTCATTCGATGACAACGGGCCCGTGGTGGCGGCGGAGCGTCCAGATGACGACGATGGCGAGTGTGGGGAAGCGTTCGTAACGACGTGGTGATGACCATTGTGGTTCAAGTAAGGAGTTCCGGGACATTCGGCGGGAAAATTCGGTGTCGCTGTTCGTTCCACGCTGTCGGCTCTAATGCTTGCAGCCTCCTGCATTGAAGAATAATTTGGAGAAATTAAAGTACAGGAAATGCGAATTCTCTCCGGGTCTGCACAATATTAGCCCAATGATATCATTCATAATCCCCACTTCTTCATCAGGTGCCTTTCAAATGCGGAGCTTCATTGTGGGTCATCACAACAATTGAATCGGACATCAATGGAAAAATAATTGATTTACCTGGATAATTTGATTATATGTTCAAGGAAGTAAACGGTGGAACCGCCAGAGGATATGCACATTGAAAATATTGTATGCCGTCCACGCTGGAAAGTAAATTTCTGCTAACGAGCTATGAAGAGTCCTAGAACGGAAATTATTTCGCTCAAGAAACCATCATTTTTTAAACTCACTTTAACAGCAAGGGATTGCAACCTAAATCTAACGAGACTGTGTTCATTCCTGTTACATACAGCACGTCACCTGTCTTTAAAAAAATGTTGGTCAACTCTACATTCGTGAGTGACAATTCAAATGGATCCTACAGAATTCCAGAAGTCCCGCTTCTCATATTGAAGTATCAATCTGACTAAAACGTAAGCAACTTTGTTTTTCGCAGCAGATTTTCCTGAAACGGTCGACGGAGAGATCCCCCTTCAGTTGCTGATTAGATTCATTACGAATATAAATTCGCGATGTTTCATTATTGCCTAATTCTGTTGATCCAAAGCATGGAAATGTTAAAACAAGTTATTGGGAGCTGATCTCATTGTCGAGTGACCCCTTTCATATCTGTTCTATGGAATCGTCGAATGGGTTTCAACAGCATAAAATAATCAAATTCGAATCATTTAAACGACAAGACGACGGATGTAAATGTGCTTTGCGTTCACTTGAACTACCCCCCGACTTCGTAGAGAAAATTCCGCGCGGCGCATTAAATATAGAAGCGTTTTTTAGAAACTGAAAGGGTGTTCAGTCCCGAATTCTTTCCCTTCAAGCTGAGACAGCCAACGATAATGAGCCCTTTGAGAAAAGGCTAGATGAAAGAAAACAAAATAGACGGACGGTGAAATACGTGACGTGGCGTTTTATCTAACTGGCTTGGAAATGCAAGAAAGGAATCTGAAGCTTCCGCGTGAGGTGAACGAGATCATTCCGAGCGTGCGGACTGTGAACTGCAGCGATAATAATCCCCGTTGGAGAGAACACCTCGAGCTGTGCTCGACTCTCAAAATAATTAGCATCTGTTTTGAATCGAGGGAACGTCTGAAATTTTTGCCCGGATTGTGTAGAATAGGACGAAGATCTCACCGCATTCACGTGATTATAAGCCGAATTTTCCGCCCCAGAAAACTCCACTGGAAAATGCAGCTGCGGCCTGATACTCTAAAAGTCTATATAATCAATGCAAGATTATACTGGTACAGTAATAAGGTGCGAATTATGTGGAAGGTAAGAGTTCAATACTGTACACTATTTTATGACGCGTATCATGACGATAGATAGAGCTCGAAATTGGATGCACATTAGCAATTGGATGCAATTGCTAATGGTCAAAATTGGATGCACATTAGCATCCATCGCCCAAGCGTTTTGATGTTTTCTAATTTTATTCTTTCCGTGTCTTCGAGAACCGTTCAAAAATCCCAAAGAGCGGATATGAAAGGTGTCAATTGCAGAGAAAACATCAGCTGATGAAGCACTCGGCAACGAAATCAGCTCCTATAATTACTTTCGTCAACGTTTCCTGGCAGCAAGGGGCAGGATATAAGCAATAATCCTTTTAAAAAATGCTACGATCAAAAATCGTACCACAGGAGAACCCCCAGGAGTTTCAACAAAATCCGTGTAATCCCTAATCCAGTTACATTTTAAGCATATTTCAGAGACTGAGTTCGACTGGTATTTTTTGTGTTTCTTAAATACAATAATGTCATGTTCCTCTTAAAATTTGCTGCTGCCAAAGCAGATTTTTCTTTTAAAATGAGTCCAAAATTAGTCTGCGGCCAATAGTCGCGTAAATTCGACAATTTTCTTCGACAGCACCGTACGTTTCAAGAAATACAAAGAACCCTAAGAAACCGGGGTTTTCTTGAGGCTGAGAAATGTGTGGGTCAGTCAAGTATGCGATCATAAATTCTGGCGTGCGTGCCTCAACAAGGATTTCCAGCTCCTTCGCCGGCAACGAAAAAAAAAATATTTCGGTGAAATACAGCTGATTGTCTGGGATCATTGTCAGCATACCCAGCGCGTGAAAACTTATTTCCGTGACTGAAAACGCCGCGGGGAAGGACATCTGAACAGGGCCGGTTCCGTAGAGTCCGAACTGAGCTCCAGCAGTGCGGATTTTCGGAAATCCCTCCAGCCCAAGCACCACCAATCCTCACGTGTTTCTACCAAAAGGTTTCCTCCCGTGCCGCCCATCAACATTCATCTCCGGAGAACACAACGCCTTCGTCTGTGCTTCCTAGAGGCACGTGAATCACCAGCCTCGACACGATCGCATACCCCGTGAAGTGCCGAGAGGAAGGGCGCGAAGAAAACTCGCGTATATCGAAGGAAAAAGAAAAAAGAAAACCCGACCCGAGTTGCAGCGTCATAGGACACCTGAGCGTCGTCACCCCACTGAGTGCCAGGGGAAACTGAGTGCCAGCCACCCGAATGAGCGTCCGCTCAACGAGCTGACGGCTATGCTTCATAATACGGAGCAGTCAGCGAAACAATTCGCGTCAGATACAGTAATTGGTACCAGCAAATGCGAATATTTTCTCTCGCACCTAAACACCGGTAATCCTTGCGATGACTTAGAATGGGACTTTCATCATTAGTGCATCATTTTTCAAAGCAAAAACGTCGTATATAACGACGACTTCATGTTGCAGCAACATGGATATACTGGAGATGGTGACTGAAATGATGCAATTTAAGAAGCTCATATAGAAAACCTCAGTATATCGAAGCGATATATCGAGCAGTCAGCGAAACAATTCGCGTCAGATACAGTAATTGGTACCAGCAAATGCGAATATTTTCTCTCGCACATAAACGCCGGTAATCCTTGCGATGACTTAGCATTGGACTTTCATCATTAGTGCATCATTTTTCAAATCAAAAACGTCGTATATAACAATGATTTAATGTTGCAGCAACATGCAGATACTGGAGACGGGTGAGTGAAATGATGCAATTTAAGAAGCTCATAGAAAACCTCGGTTTGGTGCAGTCAGAATCATTTTACAATATCGACAGAGAAGCTTAGTTGCGCAGTGCCCAGTTTTTTGGACACTTCATATTTTCCTCCCACGATCGCGGCTAGTTCGTTTGGCACTCGTCCAGCGACGCGTCTTCCAGCCACGGTTGCACTTCACCCCGACGATCGTTCAGTGAGAGTTGGCCGAGAAGTTGTCCATACAATTATCTTCACTTGATCATGAAAATCTTTTTTTTTTTCTCAAAGAAAATCCGACTCGAAAAATCAGGGTGACCTTTATGGTACATGGCGTCTTACAATAGATAGGATTCAACAATTACAGTCTCACATTCGCGGCGAATAATTCGAAAGACGGTTAGATTCAAAACCAAAGTTTCTGCTTCTGACCAATGCAATCCTCTGTACAAAAAAAATTAGCTTCGATGTGAATGAAAAATCCTCGCCGCGGTTTTCAGTTCTTTAGCACAAGAATAAAGATTTGTCAGATTTATGTTGGAAGAAAGATCAAGATTCCGAACAGCTTATGTGTAAAATTAGCAAGCTCCTCTGACTTCGATCAATGAATAGAATTCAAGAGAATTTTATATCCGGAGAAAACATCGTCCACATTTTCAAGAGAAAAAATCCTTCAAGAGAAAAAATGTCCTTTTATATACAGTAGTCCTATATTTGGTGGTATCTTATAATTCATGGTACATTGCTTCACGTCTGACGGTGCATTAGATTCACAGGGCAGGAGAAGTGCACGATAGCTTCTGATCAACAGAATATTTTAAATAAAAATGAGCATAGAGTTAAATTGCACAACTTTTTAACGGATTTTGGTTATTTGGCGCAAGAGGAAGAATCCTAATTTCTGTTATAGTAGGGCATGAGGAGTAGAACCAAAAGGCTCTTAGATTATTGAAAAATTGATGATGCTAAAAGCTTATCTTACATGCGTGCGAAAAATCCTTTATATTCTTGACCAATCGGTGGCCTTTTATACGTGATTTATTCGAGATACTGTACGTACCTTTTTGACGCATTGTAACTGAACTTTTGTTTTTCTCTGTCAATCAAGTGACGGTATTTCTTGGAGAGTCCGCTCAGTTTAATCTAACTGCAACATAGAATGGCTTTTAAATCCCCCCCCCCCCGAATTTTAAACCTTTCAAGACATAATTAGCTTATACATGTGTTACGCGTTTCCAAATGTCCAGGCTACATACACATCGAAATAAAAATTCGTGCCCTCTCCTTGCGTCGATTTCAAAAGGTTTTCCTTCTTCGCCCTCTTCAAAATTTCTTTCACAGGCTACCATTATATCCCCTTTTACGCCATGAAATGCTCGTCTCTATTCTTCACTTTTTACAAAGACTACTGATTCTACCCCACGAAAATCCTGCGTACCACCAGACGTACGCGTACTACTAGTCGAAAAACCCTAATGTAAATAACGGCGTCAGATCTCCCGTTCTGCATCCTGGATCTTATCATCCAACAATAGCTAAGACAAGAATGCTTTCAAGACGGATAAGAGTTGAGTACTTTATAGTGCTTCGAAAACACCTCCGAACCTGACGTCCTGCCGCGTAGAATTCTCGAATTGTTCTCCCTCTTTGCATGGACTAAGTTCGTGCAGATCAAGTACTGCCCTAACAGAGCTGAATCCTATTCAATTGCATTCGAAAAAAGTGAAATTTCAACGTCACGTTTTGATGAATACGATGCCTGGATCGAGCTCACAGCCCTCCTAATTGCATTCGCCTGGTAATTCGAAAATCTTTTTTGCTTTTTTGACCGCATTGTTATCCTATGCACCCTCTACGCTACGGTCTACGCAACTGAATGAGCATCCT